TTGATATTATCTAAGTAACATAGCAAAGAAAGCACTGCTTCCAAATGGGATTACATCTACAAGTAAAGGCATTAGGATTTACAACACATATTTCTTGAAAACATATATTTTTTTTCTACAGCAGTTTTCATTGACTAAGTGTTCTGATGATTTAAATAACAGCTATCATTTAATGTTTGTCAGGTTGCTAAGATGGTTTTAGCTACGTCCCTGCTGGTAGACAACGTGCTTCCAGGGTCTTCATATGAGGTTCAGGTACGGGGCAGGAGATTGGATGGCCCAGGAATCTGGAGTGACTGGAGCACCCCTTATATATTTACCACACAAGGTAGGTTTTATGCTTTGTAATGGAGATTCTACTGAGAGGGAGTTATAAGAGGATAAGTCAAAAATTATCTGCACTCTGGCTGTAGGATTTATTTTAATCAACTTTTAGAGAAGACAAATACATAATTTTTCAACATCAGCCTTTGCTTTTCAATACACTTTGTCCATCTGTCAACAAGCTTTCATATTCCCTTATTTAAAACGTTTTAGGCTGAGCTTCAAGTTACAAATGTACCACAGTCTTCACTTTATCAGAGATGAATCTTCATCCTCAAAAGGCGGTTTTCAGGGGACCAAACAGGTGAAAGGTTGAAGGGACAAGATCAGGACTACAAGGAGAATGCTTTAACACCTCAAAAGGAAGTTTTTGGAGTGTCAACAGTGTGGGCAGAGGTGTGCAGATGGGCAATGGCATGCAAGATCACAGAGTCCTTGAATAGCAGTCCTTTACTCTGCATTTAACCAGTTTAGGCTTCAGCCCTTCAGTAAGCATCTCACTGTAATGAGCACTGTTGATTGTTTAACTTTCTCCTGATAAGTGTTTCTGGCCCTTGAGAATCCCAGAAAATTCTTTTCCATCAGAAGGTTGACTTTTGAACTTTTTCTTGGTCAGTTACTGAGGATGTTTCCATTCCATACTCTGCTGTTTACTCTCAGTTTCGTAGTGATGAATCCATGTCTCACTACCAGTAATGATTTTTTAAAAGAAACTTTTACCTTTCTTCGAGTATTAGTCCAAATTTTGTTTGCAGGTATCCAAATACTTCTGTTTATGCTCTTCTGTGTGTTGGTTCCTTACCCATCTCGCAATCAGACTTTTTAAAACCCGTCTTTCAGGATTACTGCATAGGCAGAACCATGACTGATTTGCAAATGATTTGTCACATAGTCTACTGTTACTCAACTATTAGAATCATTTCACGTGCATGCTCAGTGTTGCCAACAATAGTGGACGTGGATGGAGGTTTTAATATAACCGGAGAGGAGATAATTTTTGCCCATTCTTATAGCTCCTGAATTTACCTATGGCATATTAGGCTGTTGTTGTTAAATGCCATCTAGTCCGTTCTGACTCTACCCACTGATAGGGTTTCTGAGGAGTGGCTGGTGGGTTTGAACTGCTGACTTTTGGTTAGCTTATCCTATAGTGCCACACCGGGAGTCCTTGTCACATTATGAGCATTTGAAAAATTTTGTCTAAATCTAAAGGGAGAAAACAATGTAAATTTTTATTTAAATTTTGAATAAGCTAATTTGCTAATGAAAACTTGCTAAAAAATAAGTAATTGTGTTATGATTTAAGTTAGATTTTTAGAATTTTGGATGGACATATTTCTAGTTCTGTTTTACTTTATATAAATTCTTAACCGTATTACTATTAACAGTGAGCCTTTTACCTATTTGCCAGTGAGGCCTTGTTCTAGTGACTTTGTTGTTGTTGTTATTAAGTGCCGTTGAGTCGATTCTGACCTATAGTGACCCTGTATAGGGTTTCCAAGGAGAAGCTGGTGAACTTGAAACACTGACTTTGCAGTTCAAATGACTTTGCAGTCTGACGCGTTAGCCCACAGTGCCACACCAGGACTAACTACTGACTTTAGACATGCCAAACAAAAAGATCTCAAAATAAGTGAAAATTATATCTAGATAGAAAATCAACTGCTACAAAAGGCAGGATGTGTTGAGTTCGCATTGAATATAAAGTTAAGTTTACTAATTTACTCAAGTTGGATAGCTTAGATGCCACTGAGTGGTAATATATGATTAACAGGGAAAGACAGAAACTCACCAAGTCCGAAGCCAACTAGGAACACTAAAGTGGGAACCAAAACTTCTGCACACTTCAGAAACTTCTAGATATTTATAGAATATTTCCTGTGTTTCAGGCTGTGGTCTAGGTGATTTACAAATATTATTTTATCTTATCCCCTATCTTTTGAATTAAGTATTATTATTCCTATTTTATAGGCAAGGAAATTAAGATCAAGAAAGGTTAAGTAAGTTATATAATGGAGAATTTTACAAGTCTTTTTGACCAAAACTAAATGACTGAATTAAACTCAGAGTTATGTTTAATTGGTCTTTTACTTTTTTGTCTGTCTGGGACTAAATGGTTGCTTAGCTGAGCTAATGCAAAACTTCTGAAAAACTCCTAATATCTGGCTATGTTACTTGATAGAAATCATACATTACTAAGGGAATGTTTCCTCTGCAGTCAAGACAAGATGTTGAAATATACCCCACAAGGAAGGGAGTTTTGATGCAGACATATTGGTGTAAAATGGCCTGAAGAAATATATTTTTCTCATGATAAGGATATAGAAACAAAGTCTCAAAAAGAAGATAGCTTGGGCAACCAATTCGTTTCTAAATATAAAAAAATTACTTGGACAAACAGTTTCTAAGGAAAAAGTCTTGGTGTTAATGCTTATCATCAGCTTCACCCAAGAAATGTTTTACATTAACTTAGACATTTTTATAACATGCTCTAGAAAGTGTACACTGTAAGCATCCTTAACTTTAATTGTAAATCTTTGTAGTCCACAGAAGCACTTTTTAGCATTTGTATCTAAAGAAAGCCTTTTCCTGCTTCTTTAATCCTCCCTTTTGTAACCTTCCTCAAAGGTTAACCAATCAATTATTTTACTGTAATCTCTTAGTTTTCTTGCTCTTTATCCATTTTTGCTTGCGATTTTCTTGCTGAAAATCATTGTTTTCACTTATGTATGTTTCCCTGGTAAATTTCCCATTCAGATGTCTCTCTAATGTTGAATAAATCCACAGAATCTTCATTTAAGGGCTGAGTAGTTTTCCCTTCTGTGGTATTTTTAAGAGGACACACAATTAGAAAGTAGTAAAGCTGGCAGTCTAATTCCATGTCCATGTTTTTAATCACTAACAGAAGACTTAAGTGCATAATATATAATTATGCAAGATTTCTGGTGGTGCTAAAAATTGAGATGCTCAAAGCAAATAAGCTGTAAGCTTTAATTATGTATTTTTATGGAACTCATTTACTTGATAACACCTGGTCAGTGAGATTCTAGTATGGTCTAGATGTTTAGGGTTAGTTTATTGGATTATATTTGCTGCAATTTTCACATCTCATAGCATTTGCTACACTCAAAGAACAGTAAAGTATGACTTCCTATTCCTGTGTGAAGAAGTTTGAATCTCTTTTCCTTAATCTAGGCACAAAGGTAAGTAAAAAGGTATTGCTACTAGGGTTTCTGTTCATACATGCATAGCATTATTCCAAGCAAAATGTGTTTGAATATTTCTCGGTAGCTGCAGACAAGATGTCTCAATAATACGCTTGTCTTAGTTTCCTCAAGGTGCTTTAAAAAACTAACTGAAATCCAATCAAAACAGTGGCTCCTGTGGGGATCGCTGGGCCAGTTAAATTCAAGGCAGAAATATCACCTCAGAAGATTATAGTGACTATTTTTTGGAATTCCAAAGGAATAATCTTGATAGATTGTTTTGAAGGACACAGGATGACCATGGGGATTATTATGAAGAAAGAATCTGCACACCTGTTTTATCATTTTCAAACATTTTGAACTATATTGAATATTATTTTTTGAATGTATACTGCCTGATATATTGCAGCCATAGCCAGCAGAATTCCATTTCCAGTGCATTTACACCCAGTATTTTTGATTAATTGATACATTAAGACTATGCTTACTAATATACCAAGAAATTATTATGATTTCTTTGAAAATTTCTTGACTAGGTTCTCTTTTTTTTTTATTTTTTATAGCCATTAAGAGGTCTTAGATATTTACAAAAAAATTCAGGACTTTTGCTAGAATTTATGATGTCCAAGGATATAGTAATTAACTATGCTTCATACTGAAAACAACTTTGTTGTTGTTGGTGTCAGGTGCCATTGAGTCAGAACCAACTCATAGTGACCCCATGCACAGCAGAATGAAACAATGTCTGATCCTGGGCCAACCTCACTACCACTACCACACTTGACGCCATCAATGATGCCACCTGGCTGGTCCATCTCGTTGGGGGTCTTCTTCTCTTTCTCTGACCCTCCATCTTACCCAGCATGACATCTTTTTCCAGCGACTGTTCCCTCCTGACAATATGTCCAAAGTATGAGAGACGAAGTTTAGCCATCTTGGCCTCCAAGGAGCACTCTGGCTGCACTTCTTCTAAAACAGATCTATTGGTTCTTTAGAAGAGCTGAATTCTTATAAAACCTTTATTATCTATATCTTTTGTACAGCTCAAAAAGGAGGAGTAACATCTTAGGCAATTTTTAGAATTCATACTTGGCAGCTCTTACAATCTATTGAAGAAAATATTTTGCTTATAAAAAAATGCGTGCATCTGTCCCAAGGAATTTTAAAGAGTCTACTTTCTGGGTCTATAATATATAAACACATTTTAAAATAATGGTATATAATGCTTTGATTTATAACTTAGATTATTTGAAAAAATTCACTAGTATTTATCAATAGAATGTCCTTTTAAAATAAAGTTCTTTAAAGTACGTTCTAATTGTGTGGTGTTGCTAGTTGGTCTTGAAAATAAAATCATTATTATCTTATCTTGAAAACTAAATAGTGCCTACTATCTCATGTTGGAATCCTCTTGTGGTGTTGTGGTATAAAACACTGAACTGCAAGGTCAGTTTGAACCACAAGGTAGGAGGTTCAAATTCACCAGCCGCTCCTTGGAAACTCTATACAGGATCACTAAGAGTTGGAACCGACTCAACGGCACTAAACAACAACAAAAACAACATCTCAATTTTAGAATACAACACAAATATTTTTAAATGAAATATTCACCATTTATCTTATATAATCAGTTTCAAAAATATGCTTAATGTGAATTTAAAATATCAGGTTTTTATTAACTTTTTTTTCTTATTTTCAAGCAAGTATTTTAGGATTTAATTATGATACTTACCATGGTTTTTATTCCTCAACTAAGCCTTACTAAATGCATTTAGATTTTGAAGTACAAATGCTTTGAGTTATTAAGCTTCAACTTAATTCATGAAAGTTCATTTGGGTTTTTTTTGAATAACTAATCTGAGAATTTTAGAGGCACTTTAGTACTGAGGTATGGAGTGTAGTGAGGACACGTCAGAAGTCTTTCAGGTCTGTGTGAGGTACTTGTTTGCAGTAAGTAAAGTACAAATGAGGGTTGAGTGCCACCCTGAACTGGGATTATCCTCAACCAGGCCTTAAATTTACTGAACTAGAGATCTGCCTAGTAATTCCATACTCTAAAGTTTTTTTCCAGTTTTTGTCTGAAGTCAGAAATACAAAAGTTTCTTAAATGAATTGTAAATATAGATTTGGAGTTTCACATAGTACTATAGAATTTTTTTTTCTATAATTGAATAACTAAAACAACAAACGACAATAAAATGGTTGCCTTTTGAAAGAGATAATCCAGAAGAGCTATGTTCAAACAGACCATTCATATGCTGTCAGCTCTGGTGTGGCGCTGCAGATAGGCACTGAACTGGTAACCATGATGTCCGTTCAAACCCACCAGCCATCTCGCAAACCCTACGCAGGGTTGTTATGAGTTGGAACCAACTCGACAGCACGTAACAGTAACAACGTTTATGGGAGCAGATCACCAGGTCTTCTTTGGAACCATTTCTTCTATGGAGCCATTGGGTGTGTGTGAACACTAAGTCGTTCTGATTCATAATGACCCTCTATAGGGTTTCAGATACTACACTCAATCTTAGGCAAAAGGCTGAGAAGACCCCCAACGAGATGGATTGACCAGGTGGCAGCATAGATGGACTCAAGTGTGGCAACAGTAGTGAGGTTGGCCCAGGATCGGACATTGTTTCATTCTGCTGTGCATAGGGTCGCTATGAGTTGTACCGACTTGGTGGCACCTAACAATAATAACAATAGGGTTTCAGAGGAGCTGCTGGTGGGTTTGAATATGCATTTTATTTTTGGCAATGGAGGCCGAGGCTGGCATTGTAGGATAAGAAAGGTCGGTGGTTCAAATACACCAGCTGCTCCTCAGAAACCCTATACAGGGTTGCTTTGAATCAGAACCAACTCAAAGGCACTTAACAACAATAACAATCTTGGAATGCATTGAGAATCAATTTTTATATATTATAAATTGCTTTAAAAATATTATGTTTTCTGTCTTTCTCTGAAGTTCTACCTTTTTCCTCCCTCATTACAGATGTCATATACTTTCCACCTAAAATCCTGACAAGTGTTGGGTCTAATGTTTCTTTTCATTGCATCTATAAAAATGAAAACAAGATTGTTTCTTCCAAAAAGATTGTTTGGTGGATGAATTTGGCTGAGAAAATTCCTCAAAAGCAGTACAATGCTATGAGTGAGCGTGTTAGCAAAGTTACTCTTCCCAACTTGAATGCTACCAAGCCTCGTGGAAAGTTCACTTACAATGCCGTGTACTGCTGCAATGAACATGAATGCCACCATCGCTATGCGGAGTTATATGTAATTGGTAAGGATACTGACGTGTTGTTCGTTTTTATGATGGAGTCTAAATTGGAGTCCTGTTTAAGATATAATGAATTTTTTTATTAAAATATTTTGGTGTTCTGATTTTGCATTAATATTTCAATATGTTTTAAATAGATGTCAATATCAGTATATCATGTGAAACTGATGGGTACTTAACGAAAATGACTTGCAGATGGTCAACCAATCCAATCCAATCACTTCTGGGAAGTTCTTTGCAGTTGAGGTATCATAGGTACGTATTACTTTTGCTGTTTTGTTTTTTCTGGGCCTGATAGAGTGAGACAAAGGTGGTCTGTAGAAATATCATTGTAATAGTGGTCTTGCATATTGTTTCCTGCAGAGCGAAGGTTGTTGTTGTTGTTAAGTGCCGTGGAGTTCTGACTCATAGTGACTCTGTATTGCATTTCTGAGATTTTAAATCTTCACAGAATCAGAAAGCCTCATCTTTCTTCCATGGAGCTGCTGGTGGGCTTGAACCCCAAATCTTATGGTTGTAGTGCAGGGCATACAGTATGGAGTCACCTTGCTAGCAGAGGGAAAGTAGGATATAATCAAATGGGAAATTTTGGAGGAATTAAGTAAATTGGTGATTCTTGAGAAAGATCCACACCAGGCAAAAATATGTAATTAAAAAAAATATTTTTCTTGTCAATTAAAATTCTATAATTTCACTTAAACTCTTGAAGGCAAGCCAAAAAAAATTAGCTTGCAGACAGTTTAATTTGACTTATGGAATTGACTAAAAGAGAATATGTTGTTGTCATTGCTGTTATGTGCCGTGGAGTCGGTTCCTACTCCTAATAACCCTGTACAGGGTTTCCAAGGCTGTAAATCTTTATGGAGCAGAAAGCCTCATCTTTTTCCCACGGAACAGCTGGTAGTTTCGAACTGCTGCTGACCTTGCGGTTTGCAGCCCAATTCGTAACCATATGGAAGATTATAAAAACACAAATCATTTGGCTAAGGATTAATGATTTGCAAAAATGCTAGAAGTAGACACAGCCTGTAAGAGGCAATGTGAATGTTTTTTTAAAGAAACTTGTTGTCTGTTGTTGTTGTTACATGTTTATATTGCAGTTAATATTCCAGTGTTTATCCTATAGCACCACATCAGCTATAGAACTAAGTGAGGTTATGGAAGAAAGAAAGAAAGAGAGAGAAAAAAGAGAGAAAGAAAAAGAATAATAGTGTATAAGAAGAAATGCTCTAATAAGGAATAATTGATGCCTGTTTATTTTTACTTTTTCCTTCTTTAAAAAGATTTTAAGGCATATTCCTATAGCATTCCCTTCTCTCTCTAAAGAGTTTTATCTGAAATAATAGCATCCTTTATTAGGAGAAAACAGACACATTTAAAAAATATATCCTGTTATAGTAGTATGTATAGTGTTCTCGAGCACTATGCACTTAATTTGTATTTGAGATTTTCAATTTGTTTAATGTGCCTTTGTTCACTCTTAAAATCTAAATTTTTCTACATCAAAAATTAAAGTCCTAGTGTGGCACTGTGGGCTGATCGTCAGACTGCAAAGTCATTTGAACTGCAAGGTTGGTGGTTCAAGCTCACCAGCTGCTCCTTGGAAACCCTATAAAGGGTCACTATGGGTCGGAATCTACTTGACGGCACTTAACAACACCACCCTTAAATATTACAAACTAATTTTTATCCCTAATGTTTCAAGTCTATTCTTAAATCTTGTTGTTAATAAGTGCCATTGAGTTGGTTCCGACACATAGTGACCCTGTATAGGGTTTCCAAGGAGCGGCTGGTAAGTTTGAACAGGCGACCTTGTGGTTCAAACTAACCTTGCAGTCCAGTGCTTTATCCCACAACACCACACCAAGACTCCATTCTTACATAGTATTTGAAAAAAACAGGGGACTTTCTACATTTGTCAAATGAGAATAACAGCTGTTTCTATCCAAACTGATATAAGTACACCTATTTCTCTCTTGTTGACATGGTAAATTCCAAAGAGTGGGTTGTTATGTGAAAAATGGCATTATGTGAAAATGGAGGATAACAGCCTCAGATCACAAAATTGAGGATGACTACATAATTACCTAACAGCCAAACCACTGAGAATCATAGCTCAGCTAAATTGACACATACCTATCATCTCCAGTGCAATGGTCTCCTTGCATAGCAGTGATTATTGCTGCCGGATGTATGTTGATAATTTGCAAAATAGTCAGTAGATTTTTTTTTTTTTTTTACTATTGTTTTAACTGCAAAATATTGAATAACAAGATATTTGATAAGTAGGCATAGTTTTAAATCAATAATGTTCAAGGTATGTCATTTTACTTTTATAATCTGTTTTTGTTTTCCTTCTGTGACAGTTTCATTTAAAAACAGATCTTTTTTTTTTTTTTTCTGTGTGTGTGTTTATAGAAGCAACATAAGCTATGTGCCTCATTTGTATATATACATACATACATACATACATACATATATGGAGTTCTGTGTTTACAGAAGAACCATGAAACTAGCTACATATAATTGGGCAAATTTCTTAACCTCTATAAACCTCAATTTTTCTCATCTGTAAAATGGAGATAATAAGACAGGGGTCTATGAGAATTGAATGTCCTATTTCATTTGATTCTGATATATTTTATCCTTGTAAACATTCTGTCAGTACTGGATGCTGTTGTGATGATACCTTTAGATCCTAAGTGGATTATTGCTGTGTTTCAATATAAAATTGCTGTCCTTGTTTTCTGCAGATAGACAGTCCCTCACCCTTCAATTATTCCTCTTACACACCCACTCCTCCTACATCCAGATTGTAATTTTGAGAAAATAGGGGGAAAAACTGGGACAGAAAAATTGAAGATGAGAAACAGAAAGACTTAAGATTTTCATCTCCTTCTCATTTCCTCACTTCCATTGCTATGGAAACAGTTACTGCTATTTTAGTCCTTTAAGTATCATATAGTGACAGAGGACTATTTCACAGAAGAAGATACTTGCTTTTGTATTTTCTGAGCTAGAATATTGATTGGGATTCATGTCTACAAAAAGTTGCCTTAGCCTTCTGTAAGAAATGAGTAACATGCTTGACTGTATGGTTAATACATGTATTTAGAATTAATATTGTTTTAGTTATATTGCTCTAACTAGAAAATATTAGAATACTGTCGGTTGATCTGTCCTTTATTGTCAATTGTATTCTCAGTCTGTGGTGAAATTCAATCCCCTACTTAATGTATGAGGTACTTGTCTTTTTCTGCATGTCAAATGACCTGTCACTTCTTTTGTCTTTACTTTAGAAACAATTTTACTTACGTATAATATTAGTTTAATTTTTAAAGTGTTGTAGGTTATCTTTCTAACTGGATTGTTATTTCCTTGTTAGAGCAATGTCTTTTATTGCATTTGTAACCCAATTATATTAAGGATAAATATTTCATAAGAGTTATTGTCACTTTATATTGAAAGATATACAGTTGTGATATAACTGAGGACTTAGCTTTAATATGAACATTCATTTATTAGATAGGCAAAACTGTCTATCCTTTAGGCAACAAAGGCAGAATTAAAAAACAAAAATTTTTCTAAATGGTTTTAGTCATGTTGCATATTAATTGACCTTTTTTTAACCATTTAAGGAGCAGACTTTACTGTTCTGATTTCCCAACAATTCATCCCGTATCTGAATCCAAAGATTGCCATTTGCAGAGAGATGGTTTTTATGAATGCATATTTCAACCAATCTTTCTATTATCCGGCTACACAATGTGGATTAGGATAAATCACTCTTTGGGTTCACTTGACTCTCCACCAACATGTGTTGTTCCTGATTCTGTGGGTAAGTTAAACTCTGTTTTCATTTTTACTGTCATATTTACATGTAGATTAATTCATGGTTGATGTGTTTTTCCATTTTCCTGATCACACTAGATTGAGGTGGGGAGGGTTCGAAGGATGCTCCAATTTACAGTAGATTTGAGAAGAAAATCAGCCTTAGAAAATTTTACAGCTTGATTTTATTGAAAATAATTCATAGCAAACTCTTCCAGCAATAGGAAAATTTTCAGCTTGCTGTTTCATGAATAGGAGTACATTGGTTCAGTGCCTTTACTCTTGCTTTCCATGAGGGAGACCCAGATTTCATTTCTAACCAGTGCAACTCAAACAGCTTCTACCTGTCTGTCAGTGGAGGCTTGCTTATTGCTATATACTTAACAGGTTTTAGCAGAGGTTCCAGACTAAGATAGACTAATATAGACTAGGAAGAAGGGCTTGATGATCTGTTTCTGAAAATCAGCCAATGAAAACACCCAGTGGATCACAACTGTCCAATCATGTTATACTTGGAGTTGTCAGGAGTTCAGGGTCAAGTAGAAGGTAACTAACAATCACAATAATTTGACAAATTATATCAACCTCTGCAAATTAAATTTAGTAGTGTTATTCTAAAGAATGTACATCTTTCTATGTTCTTTTCCTGAAGTACTTATGAAATCGTGGCATATTTTAACTCTAAAACCTTCCTTTGGATACTCTTAAGTATTTTTGTACTCTTAGTAGTCATAACCAAAATAACTAAAAATAACTTTATTCACAGTAACTAGAGTGAAGTGAAGAGAACATAGTCAAGGATGATATCTATCATGATATTTAAAATGTTCTTTTCAAAAGATATTTTGATATCAAATGATTAAGAGAGTATTTGGTAAACTTGATATATGCCTCCAATAGCAACATGAAATCTTTGACAAATGACCCATTCATGATTGTGTAGCAATATAAAGAATATCTTTGGGGAGCATACACTATTTTATTGGTAAATTAGGCAAAAAACGTATTTTTTTTTCTAAATAATTAGTACACCTCATTACTAAAATCTACATTTTTATGGATTTAATTTTTAGATTTTAGATTTATTTTTTCAATTTACCCCACTGTTGTCAAGTCAATTCTAACTCATAGCGAGCCTATAGGACAGACCGGAACTAGTCCATAGATTTTTCTAAGACTGTGAATTTCTACAGGAGCAGACAAAATCGTCTTTCTTCAAGGGAGCAGCTGGAGGGCTTGAACAGCTGACTTTGTAGTTAGCAGCCCATGCCTAACCCCGTTCTACCACCAGGGCTCCTTTCTAATGTAAAGTCCCAATCAATTCAATATCAAGGAGCCATTTTAACCCTCTCTCCACCACACACACATACATACTCACATGCAATATATGACAAATGTAACATATACCATATGGTACAGATCTATACCATATCTGAATAAAGTTGATGTTTGGAATTATAATGAAGTCAGGAGCTGCAGTGCCTTGGGGACTTTTCGTTTCACAAGTGCTTTGAATTTTTATTATTAGGAAGTATGGTCTTCAAAGTAAAATATAAAAGCTGTAGTGAATATAACTCAAGCTGAACTTTTAATATTAACTTTGAGATCAGAAACATGAAGAGGTGATGGAAGATGTGAAAGACAATGTTTTTCTTTGCATTTCTATGATTTTCATATCAAATATTTAAACAAATATGTACTGATGTATTTATTGCTAAAACATGAGGGTTTTTTTTTTTGCTAAAACGTAAGTATTTTAAAAGATTACTTATTAATCAGGTCATCTTTTCTTCTACTTCTACTATTAGGAAGTGATTTTCCTCAGATTATAGAGAACAAAGACTTCACTGTGCAAGACCATTTCTGATCTTGACCTTGATCTAGAAGTACTTAATAAAGTGCAGCTTAAGAAGAGTTTGAAGCTCATATATGTAGAAATAGGAATACATGTTTGTTGGCCTTTAATTAAAGCTCTACGTTGAACACAGTCTACTACTGATTTTTATTACCTGTTCAGTACAATCAAACTCCATGTAGAACAGAGTTTGTGACTGATTTGGATCACATATTCAGTAGGATATTTTTCCCATACAGCTTTGTAATTAGATTTTATTGTTAACTTACAAAGTGACTGGAAAATATGTTGACTTTTTTTTTCAGTTAATTTTTCTGCAAATTAGAGATAATCTCTGTTTTACAGGTTATATAAACTTGTAGTGTGTCAAATGAGATAATGAATGAGAAAAATTTCAAAAATATATATTGCTTTATAAATATAAGGCACGAAAATTTTATCATAGTAATATTCTTTAAATATGATTACAGTTTAAATTACTGTTACATAACATGGTTTTTAAATTTTCTAGTGAAACCCCAGCCTCCATCCAGTATAAAAGCAGAAATTACTCTACATATTGGATTATTAAAAGTATCGTGGGAAAAACCAGTCTTTCCAGAGAATAATCTTCAGTTCCAGATTCGGTATGGCTTAAGTGGAAAAGAAGTACAGTGGAAGGTATACTTACCTTATATCTAGAAATTTACTTACCTTTCCCTCAACTCAAATATATCCCAAACCCAAACCCAACTCATTGTCATAGAGTCTATGAGAACCCACAGTGATTCTGTACGGCAGAGAACAGCCCCATAGGATTGGTAAGGTTTAAATCTTCATGGATGCAGGCTGCTGCATCTTTGTGGAGAGGCTGGTGGGTTCAAACTTCTGACCTTTTGGTTAGCAGCTGGACTCTTAGTCACTGCACGGCAAGGACTCCTTATCGAGCTCTTTATTCTAAGAATTATCTAAGATCAATTCTAAGAGATTAGCTCTGTGTGATTTTGTTGTTGTTTTTAGGTGCCATAGAGTTGGTATGAACTCATAGCGACCCTATCTATGAACAACAGAATGAAACACTGCCCAATCCTGGGTCAACCTCACAATTGTTGCCACGCTTGAGCCCATTGATGATGCCACTTTGCCAATCCATCTTGCTGAGGGTCTTCCTCTTTTTCTCTGACCCTCCACCTTACCAAACATGATATCCTTCTCTAGCAACTGGTCCCTCCTGACAATACGTCTGAAGTATGAGAGATGAAGTTTGATCATCCAGCCTCCAAGGAGCACTCTGGCTGTACTTCTTCCAACACACATCTGTTGGTTCTTTTGGTAGCCCATGGCATTTTCAATATTCTCCTGTAATACCATAGCTTGGGTCAGGTGCACCTTAGTCCTCAAGCTGACATCTTTTCTGTTCAGTCTAGTGCATATTAATTGAGCAAATTCTATACCCAAAATACCATGATAAATACTTTACATGATAAAAACACAAGTAATACAAAATATAACCATACAAATCATACTTTGGACATATTGTAAGGAGGGAGTAATTGTTGGAGAAGGATATCATGTTTGGTAAGGTGGGAGGGTCAGAGAAAAAGAGGAAGACCCCCAATGAGATAGATTGGCCAGGTGGCAGCATTGATGGACTCAAGCGTGGCAACAATAGTGAGGTTGGCCCAGGATCGAGCAGTGTTTTGTTCTGCTGTGCATAAGGTTGCTATGAGTCAGTACTGACTCTATGGCACCTAACAACAACATACAAATCATAAAGGAAAGGGAATTGTTTTTTTGGGGGACTTATATATATTTAACTGCATTTTAAATATATAGACATCTGTGATTATTAAATCACAATTGGTACTCTTTTGCATTATTTTCAAGCTAAAAATCTTGTCATCAGTAAGGAAATTGTTGTTGTTAAGTGCTGTTGAGTTGGTTCCAACTCATAGTTACCCTGTCTAGGAGCAACTGGTAGGTTTGAACTGTTGACCACTTGGTTCTCAGTCCACTGTGAATCCTACAGCACCACACCAAGAGTCTAAGGAAATAATTAGATTGAAAAATGCTTAAATTATGAAAGTTCAGGGTCCAAGCCAAATGATAACTATTTCTAAAGCAGAAACTTAAAGTCAGTTTCCTTAAATTTCAAAATAGTGTTAATTTTTTTTTTAAGTGCACCTTTGAGAGCTTAAGATGCATGTGTGTTAGTAAAAATGAATCCAATGCCTTGCCTTATTTTGCAGATGTATGAGGTGTCTGATGCAAAATCAAAATCTGCCAGTCTTGTGGTGTCAGACCTGTGTGCAGTCTATGTTGTCCAAGTGCGCTGTAAGCGGCTAGATGGACTGGGATATTGGAGTAATTGGAGTGATCCAACATATACTGCTGTCAGAGATATAAAAGGTCTGCAGAAATGTTGTAAATTAGTTTTGAAAAGAGCATAAATGTTTGCTTCAAATATTGCTGAACAACTCGCACTCCTTGTCATTTTGCAGTTCCTATCAGAGGACCTGAATTTTGGGGAATAATAAATGAAGATGTTAATAAGAAAGAGAGAAACATCACCTTACTTTGGAAGGTATTCTTGCTTTTTATGTTTTTCCTTCAGCTCACTTTTACACTCTTCAAGATTTCTTTCATTGCCACAATCATTTCATTACTCATCTCCAAAAGACTCTGTGATCTTATATTTCGTTCCTTTTTTGAGTTGTAATTATAGAAGGCTGAGTTGTAGAATAGACGGAGAATTGGAACAGAGTTCCGAACCAAAATCTACAAGCACTACTGTTGATTGGATTTAGACTCCTAGTGATTCTCTACAACAGAACAGAACTGCACCATAGGGTTTTCAAGACGAAATCTTTACCGCAGCAGGCTGTATCGTCTTTCTCTCTCGGAGGGGCTGGTGGGTTCAACCTGTTGACCTTTGGGTTAGCAACCTAATGTTTAACCCACTGCATCACCTTTAATTCTATTCTCAGCTTTGACATATTCTAGAGATGTCAGTACTATTTTGGCAAAGCCACTTATAAATACTGGCTATAATACCAGAAATCTCAGCCAAGCAATTGTCCTAGTATTTTCTTTCCCAAATGGACTGATTTCCATCCTAAATGAATGGATACAAGTAAAGATTATTTTGGAAAGAAAATACAAGAAATAAAATCGTGTTTTGTTGTGGTGGTGAGGTGTGAGGTGCTTTTGAATCAATTTTGACTTACATCAACCCTATGTTGATGTAAGTAGAACTGCCCCATGGGACATTCTAATCTGTAATATTTATGGATATAAGAGCTGAATAGAAAATTTCTAAGGTCAGCCCGAGAAGACAAAGTCAAATATAACAAAATGTGTAAAGACCTGAGCTTTAAAACCAAAAGGGAAGACCATGTTCAGCATTTCTCAAGCTGAGAGAACGGAAGAAAAATTTCAAACCTTGACTTGCACTATTGAAGGAGCAAAATACTGAATGATGAAAAAATGATGAAGTATTGTAAAGCTTTATGTAACCTGACTGCCACTTACTTCTCCTGAGGAGTGGCTGGTGAGTTTGAACCGCCAGTCTTCATGTTAGCAGCTGAGTGTTTGACCACTGTATCACTAGGGCTCCTTACTGTACCATCAGGGCTCCTAAAGTAGTGCTTGTGTCTGTCACCCCCTAATGTGAAAGATGTATCAATGTGTCCATATTCCTTGGTTTCAATCTAGCTACACTATTCTAAACCCTGCATGGGTTTATATATATATATATATACCATACCATTTCTGGCATACAGGCACCTCAGTGAAGGCAAAAAAATGAGAAGCATTGTTCTAGTGTATTGTGTAAAGCCAACCTTTCTATGGGTTTACTAAGGATTGGTAGAATTTAATCTTACCAGCAGCCAGTGGTGGTGATGGGGGAAGTGGGCATACAACTATATCCTAAAAAGTTAAACAAAAATATTGGACTAGTTAAGCATTTTATTTTGGAACTTTCAATGACCTGGTATACTTACTTTAAATACTCTAGGGCAGGAATTCTGGGTGTCATATGCTTTGTTCTTATACACAGTTCTCTACTTGAAGTGACAGCATATCAAGAGGTGGTGGTGCTGGTGTGCTGTGGAGCCGGTCTTGACTCCTAGTGCCCCTGCATAGGGTTTCTGAAGCTGTAAATCTTTACAGAAGCAGAAAGCCTCATCTTTCTCCAATGGAAGAGCTGGTAGTGTTGAACTGCTGACTGTGAGATTAGCAGTTCTACTGGTAACCACTACACTACCAGAGCTCCTTATAACAAGGAGAGGGGAAAGTAATGACACATCTTACAGGGCTTAAGACAAGTGCCAGTTAATATCTCCTCAGCTTTGTTGTTATTTTAAAATCAAGGGTTATTCCTTGTTTGCTATTTAGATGAGGCAATTCTTGACTCTGGCAATTCTTTTTTTTTTTTTTCTAGAATTACATTAGAAATCTCTTGGTAGAAAAGACTCCTAATTATATCTTCTATACCAATTCTATCCTTACTTCTATACCTTCAAGTGATTTATTCTCTGACACTAAGAAAAAAGATTTACAGAAGGAGAATGAGTTTCTTATGTTCCAGAATCATCCAGAAACTTCCATAAAGACTGTTATCAGAGGCTTGCCCCCACTCTCCTAATTCCCTCCTACCAGACCCCTACTTTCTGCTGCCATATTTCAGCCTTAAAATAGGCTGTACCTGCCCCTGTCTGACCCCGACCTCTGAATAGGAAATGTTTAATAAGAGTTCTATGAGCTCAGTTGCTCAGTTCCTTGAGTTCTGTTTGTATACAAAGAGCACTGTATGTTTTTGTTTGTTTGTCTGTTTATGTGTACTACAGCCTCTGATGAAAAGTGACTCATTGTGTAGTGTGAGAAGATATGTGGTAAAACACCATACTTCCTGCAATGGAACATGGTCAGAAGATATGGGAAATCACACTAAATTCATTTTCCTGTGGACAGAGCAAGCACATACTGTTACGATTCTGGCCATCAATTCAATTGGTGCTTCTTTTACAAATTTTAATATAACATTCTCATGGGCTATGAGCAAAGGTAAGAATAGATTCATAGTACTAAATCAGTATCCCCTGTTTAACCTTTGCAAACTCAGGTTGCTGTTGAGTCTTTTCTAACTCACAGGGACTCCATAGGACTGAGTAGAACTGCTCCATAGGGTTTCCAAGGCTGTAAATCTTTATAGAACCAGGCTGCCTGATCTTTCTTCTATGGAACAGCTAGTGGGTTTGAACTGCTGACCTTTAGGTCAGCAACCAGGTACTTGATTGCTAGGCGACCAGGTTCTTTTTATGTTCTGCCTATAGAAGATGGTAAAATGACCAGATCTGCAATTTGAAAGCATCACTAGAACCGTAGGAAAAAAGAGTCAGAGAGGGTAGTTACTAGACATGAGCAACATTGCAGTTGAGAACACCTTCTTGACTATATCCAAAATATTTTTATTTAGCCTTTAGGTAGAATCAAGTTTCTCCTATCATATCTCTTTGCTTATATTACTCTGTGATACCATAATAATTTCTATGCATTATATTCATCCATGCAAATGTCTGCTTTTTCCTCCTTCTCCCCTCCCCTAGTAGGGTGAAGATGCCTTAAAGGGTAATAGTAGTAGGAATTTTTTATTAACTTTGATTTTAAAAATGGTTTCTTTTTTTTCCCCCTTAGTAAATATTGTGCAGTTGCTCAGCGCTTATCCTTTAAACAGCAGTTGTGTGATTCTTTCTTGGCTGCTGTCACCCAGTGATTACAATCTTATGTATTTTATTATCGAGTGGAAAAATCTTAATGAAGACAATGAAATTAAATGGAACAGGATCCCTTCATCTGTTAAGAAGTATTACATACATGGTAAGTTTAATAACTTACTCACATGGAATAATGTAAAACTGTTGTTGTTGTTGTTAAGTGCTGTCTAGTCAGTTCTGACTCATAGTGACCCAGTATAGGGTTTCTAAGGAGCAGCTGGTGAGTTTGAACCACGAACTTTGTGGTTTAAATAGACCTTGTAGTCCTGAACTCTTCCTACAGCGCCACACCAGAGGTTCACTGTAATAATACAGCTTATTAAAACAAATAACATAATCATTTAATGGAAACTTCAGATATATAGTCGATAATGTTATTTTAATATACAACATCCTATCATTTTATCATAAGCATCTATTTCTTATTAGCTTTTTTCAATTGGTTATTTCTATCACTGTGATCATATCATATCACATGCCATTTTTGTTTTGATTTTTTCATTTGGTATTATATCATGAGCGTTTCTACTTTTTTCACCAGCTGTATAGCCACTATGTTCAATGATTATAATGGTATTTTGAGTCCTGGTGTGGAGCTCTGGGTTAATGCGCTGGATTGCAAAGTGGGATTGAGCCACAAGGTTGGCAGTTTAAGCTCACCAGTCACTCCTTGGAAACCCTATACAGGGTCACAATTGGTCGGAACTGACTTGATGATGCTTAACAGCAACAACAACAGCAACAATGGAACTTTATTATAAAATTATAGAAACTATTTATTTTAGAACACTATGAACGTATCCAGATCAGTCATGAGGTACAACATTGTCTGTGATGGGATAATATCCGTGCACCTACAGGGAAGCCCAGTTAATACCATTATTATTCAAATTTACGCACCAATCACTAAAGCCAATGAGGAAGAAATAAAAGAATTCTATCAACTTCTTCAATCTGAAATTGATTCAACATGCAATCAAGATGTATTAATCATTACTGGCTATTGGAATGCCAAGATTGGGAGCAAAGAGGAAGGACCAGTAGTTGGAAAATATGGCCTTGGTGATAGAAATGATGCTGGAGAACGCATGATAGAATTCTGAAAAATCAATGACTTGTTCATTTCAATACCTTCTTTAGACGGCATAAGAGATAACTATACACATGGACCTCACCAGATGGAATACACAGAATTCAAACTGACTACATCAGCGGAAAGAGACAATGGAAAAGCTCCATATCATCAGTGAAAACAAGCCCAGGGGCACACTGTGGAACAGACCATCAATTACTCTTATGCAAATTCAAACTGAAGCTGAAGAAAATGAAAACACGTCCACAAGAGCCAAAATATGACCTTGAATATATTCTACCTGAATTTAGAGATCATCTGAAGAACAGATTTGATACATTTAAACACTAAAGATTGAAGACCAGAAGAGTGGTGGGATGACATCAAGAACATCATACATGAAGAAAGCGAAAAGTCATTGAGAAGACGAGAAAGAAGGAAAAGGTCAAAATGACTATTAGAAGAGACACTGAAACTTGCTCTCCAGCGTAGAGATGCTAAAGCAAATGGAAGCAATGAGGAGGTACAAGAGCTAAACAGAAAATTTCAAAGATCAGTTCAAGAAGATAAAGCCAAATATTACAACAAAATGTGCAAAGATTGGAACCAGAAAACCAAAAACGAAGAAAACACTAAGCCTTTCTCAAGCAGGGGGAACTGAGGAAAAAATTCAATCCTTGA